CTTGGACTCGATGCAGAACGACCCCCTGCTCTCCGCTCGTGACGTCGGCGACACCATTGGCCAGATCATCACCTCCATCTGGAACTCGGGCGTCATCCAGCTGGTGTACAACTGGGTGGTCAACTGGATCAAGAACAACCCCGACCAGTTCCAAAACTTAATCAAGCAAGGTTTCAACATCATCGTGTCCATCGGTAGTCTGCTCTGGACGTGGGCTCAACAAAACGGTATCATCGAAAAGGTGTTCACCTGGATCGGCAACAACGCTGGTGGCATCATCAAGACCGTGGTTGACTTCTTGCTCTCGTTGTTCGGTGGCGCCTCTACTGGTGGCTCGGCCTCCGCCTCTGCCGGTACTAAGCCGACGACCACCGCTGCCGCCCCTGCTGCCACTACTCAACCTGCAGCCGCCCCCGCCGGTACTACTCAACCTGCCGCCGCCCCCGCCGGTACTACCGCCGCCGCTGGTGGCAACAACGCCGTTCTTGCCTCGTTGCAAGCCGCGTACGGTGGTGGCGCTGCTGGTGGTGCTGCTGCCCCCACTACGGTGCAGGCCAAGAGAATGTTGTACTAGATAATTTGTTTTAGAATAAGGGACAGGCGCCCAGATACCTCTCGTGCTCATGGCCGAGTAAATATGCAAACTAACGATTGTTTTGAATGATAAACCTGTAGCTTTCCCACAATTCGAACTTTACATTACCCAATATGGAGGCTCACAACATCTTCATGAAGCGTTCTACGGGCGTGAGACATGAGTGTGCTAGGCGTGCTATTTCTATGCGAACTTCGATGTAACCAATGCAGGTTCGCTGTTGATTAGTGTTTGCTTATGAAAGGCTGACCGTGTATCGATGATTAGTCAGAAATAGGCTTTATCTTTGTCAGCATTCAGCTTATACTATAAACTGGCTTGGTCACGTGCGAAAATTTTGGATTAGGGCTGAAACCCCACTGGCGCGGCCGCACGGTATAGTAGTGAAAAATTTTAATGTTACAAGGCTAACGTCACCATGTCCGCTCCCATCACTAAGGAAAAGCAAGATCAAGAACAAGAACAACTGACCTACAAGATCAGAATCACCTTGACCTCGACCAAGGTCAAGCAGTTGGAAAACGTTTGCGCCAACATCATCCGCAACGCCGTCCAAAATGACTTGGTCAAGAAGGGTCCCGTCCGTATGCCCACCAAGGTCTTGAAGATCACCACCAGAAAGACCCCCAATGGTGAAGGTTCGAAGACCTGGGATGCTTACGAAATGAGAATCCACAAGAGAGTCATCGACTTGCAAGCCCCCACCGCCATCGTCAAGAAGATCACCCAGATCACCATCGAACCCGGTGTGGATGTCGAAGTCACCATTGCTGCTTAAGTAAGTCCGTTCGTCCTTTGATTCCGATCGTGCTTAGATGAAAAACGCTCTATCATACAATGGGGTGACTGGCCGGGTTGTGAGGGCCAGTATATTTCGGGAAATTAATAATTTTGGGGACACTGTCTTTGGTGCTCTAGGCGTCACCAGGGGTGCGATCCACTCCTAGACGTTGCGGTGTGCTATCAGGATCAAAGGTGGTAAATTGTATAGAGTCAATAAAAGGAGCGAGAATAGAAATTAGTCGTAGACAGTACCTGTGTGTTACAGTGAGAGACACCGTTCACGTCGCGCGAAACAGTGAGCATCTTGCGTCATATTCAAATACGATGGTGAGTTACAAAAGCCGGATATCAAAAGGTGACGAAAAAACTGTTAGTTTCTTTATTGGGTCTGGGTGAAGCGAATTGTCCGTCACCATGTTTTGTAGGCAGCAGAGAGGTGTAGTTACGATATATCCGTCACATAGAAGTTCGAGATCGACTCAATTGATGCCAAGCACTCGTAGCGCCACCTCCTCAGAAAAAAAATCTAATATCCCTTTGCGGTATGCAACTGCTATCAACCGCCAATAGTGCTTGTCGGCCTCCGTAGCTGGTGCTGTTGTGCAGCTTGAATTAATGCACGATAAGCGTTAAAGCAAGGATCTAGGGTAGGTAACGTTAATTTAGCGGGTGCGTGCGAAATCACCATGATGGGGTTATGTCCTCGGCGTATAATGGGGGTAAAGAGTTTAGTAACGCCACGGAAAAGCCAGATTTCGGAAGATTGAAGCTCCAGGATTCATATCAAGACAATTGAGAGCCCCTGTTAGTGGATCTGGTTACGTAATCAGATACTCTTACGCCTTTGCCCCCGCTTTTGCAATTACAACACTGTGGCGCGACACACATTTGCAGTAGTCACAACCAACAGCATCATTGGTGCCATTAGTGTTGCAAGCAGGTTGTCTAATTAATCTTCAGTCACTTGCTTCAAGAAGTTCTAGAGGACTCTCTCAAATTAAAAGAAAAATACAGACAAAGTACTCAGAAACAAGTACTAGCGCGATTCCTCGATTCTGTTGATGGAAGTATAGAAACTCTGGAGTTTTCCATTGATAACAGGTCAAACTCACGATTCCACCTACTACCCTACTACAAGTAATAAAGTTTGAGATATTGCAAGGTGTGGCAGTGTGGCTGACATCGTTGTGGCTGACATGAGATCAGAGTCGATAATTTTTGTCTCATGAAACTGGCGGCAGTAGGAATATATATTCATCCCCTAACCCTTCATTATCCATCAAACAATTGAAGCATGTCCTTCCGTCCTGGTATTTCTGATTTCTTCGAGCCTGTGAACCAGCAAAACCCCACCTCTAACATTGGTGCGTACTACGCGATCAAGGCAGAGGAAGCACGCAAGCACGTCAAGTATCCCGAGTATTTGGCCCCTACCAAAGCGGAAGAAATTGGGAAATACCGCCAATTCACCAACCCCGACCACAAGAAAAACGACCGCGGTCATTTTGGGGATGCTCTGTTCAAGAACCTTTTCCCTAAGGGGATCGAGGAGTTTAAGCACTTCGATCTCAGCCCTGACTTGGGTACCGAGATTGATGATGAAAAGTTTCAGATCTCCAAGTTAGACTCGAAAGGTCGCGATGACTTGGCTTTGTTCTTGGAAACTAGAGGGTTGGCAGTATTCCGCCAACAAGATTTCAGAGATAAGGGCCCGCAATTTGCCAAAGAGTTTGGTGAACACTATGGCCCGCTTCACGTCCACCCGGTGAGCTTCTCTGCTGAGAACTACCCGGAGTTGTTCACCACTTTCAGACCTGCTGGCACGGCTGAAAGATACGAGAAGAACTTCAGCGACACCACGGGGCTGCACTACTGGCACTCTGACATCAGTTTCGAGCCTTACCCGTCGTCGTTCCTGTTCTTCGTCGCGCTCGAAGCGCCTCCTTCCGGTGGTGACACTGTGTTCATCGACTTGAGAGAAGCTTACCGCAGATTGAGTCCCACCATCCAAAAGTTCTTCGAAACCTTAACGGTGATCCACTCGAATGTGTACCAAAACAAGATTGCCAAGTACTCCGGCCAGCCTGCCAGAGTCAGTGGCGACTTGTTCACCAAACACCCCTTAGTGCGGGTGCACCCGGTGACGGGCGAGAAGCTGTTGTTCTTCTCGAGAGGGTTCATCCAAAGGGTTGATGGGGTTAAGAAGCAAGAGCTGGACTTCATTCTTAACTTCTTGGTCGACCATGTCTTGAGTAACCCCGAGTTCCAAGTGAGAGCATTGCACCGCGGCGGAGACCTGAAGGCAGTGATTGCTTGGGATAACCGTTTCCTTTTGCACACGGCGACTTTGGACTTCTTGCGCCACAACACCGGCAACCGTCACCACTTTAGAATCACGGTGTTGGGTGAAAGACCATACAATGACGTCATTGGCGACGGTGAAGGCAATAAGGATGATGACGAAATCGTTAAGGAAGACGGGACCATTACCCCTCCCGCCGAGCGTGAATAAGTTTCTTTTCTCTGGTAATTATGTCAATACATTGTTGTTGCCATCAAGTATAAGTAAACTAAATGACGCCGTTTTGTGCGCGCCTAACGGTGAACCGAACAGTCTTGCATCGCAAAAATAGCTCCGTTTAGCCGCCACGACCAGAACTAGTCAACAGCAACAATATCTATTGCTCAAATACCTAATGACGTGACTGGATTTAGCTCCTCGGGCATAGTCAACGAAACTCTAGACCCCTCCTCCCCCCCCCCC